TTTATTTCTTGCTCAAGTAACACATTCAACAAGGGTGGCCAGGAGTTGTCCATCCCATATAGTCATTCAGGGGCCCACACTGATGGAAGCTTTCTATTGTGTAGTCATACCTTCTGGGGACACGCGACCAGAGAGGTTTCCAAAGGAGGGAAGAGAAGGATGGATGGTTACACTGGTTTTTATCCCTCCGCCCAGAAGCGACATCTGCCACTCCTGCTTGTAATTTGCTGACCTGAACTAGTCATATGACCCTACGGTCGTGCAAGGGAAGCTGGAAAATAGAGGACCCATGGAATATTTGATGAACACAACAGCTTCTGCCATAAGTGGGGAGCGGATGTAGAATATAGATAGAGCCCCTACCCCCAATCCCTGAGCAGAACCGTGATACAAAGCAGATGGTGCTAAGCAGCATCAGGAAGGGGCCGGGAAAGTGCTGACAAAGTTTAGGGACTGGATAGCTTTCCGGAGCTGAATCCAGGACAGGATTTTGGAGAACATGGCATTAGCCTGGGGGCCCTGGGGACTGGTAGGTTTATTAGGCTTCACGAACAATGGATGTTCATGCAAAAGCAAAGTAGAATAGTGAGGAGTTTGCTGAAGGGCAGGATCTGTGATGAGGAAAAATAATATTAATGACAATGTTAATAAGAAACACTTACTAGAGCCCCAAGTATAAGGCAGGCGCAGTCCTAAGTGCTTTGCACACATCCATTCTTGCAATCATCTGGACAATCCTGGGCTGCAGTTGAGGCTCAAAGAAGTGAAGTAATTGGCCAAAGCAGCAGAGTGTATGGCAGAGCTGGGGTGCTCAGCTGGGCTGTCCGGCTCCAGAGTGGGGACCATGGATCTCTGGTTGGAGAAACAAACCAGGGCCAGATTCCAGAGGGCAATGAACACCAGGCGAATGTGCCTGAATGTCGATTTTGGAGGTGGAAGTTGCAGTTGAAGGGTTTCAAGCCAGGGAGGGAGGTAATCACGTTTGCCATGAAATCATAAACGTCCTGGGGCCCCAGTGTGGGGCTCGGGGAGAAGAAGGTGGAAGGCTTGGTAGAGAAAGGACCTGAAGCTGAGTGCTGAGAGGTGAGGGGGCTGGGAGCCCATCGGAGAGGCATAAAGGCCATTCAGGGCCAGGGACAGCTGACTGGGGATGCAGGAGAGGGATGGGGTGGATTTGCCTGACTGGCTCCGAGTTTTCCTGGGGCTGGGACGGAAGGGGAGAGATTTTAAAGTCAGGCCAAGGAGTTCCATTTAGTAGGAAGGAAAGAGACACCGACTGCTTTGAAGACGCAGCCGCAGAATGTGTTAAGAGGAGCCTCCTTGCCCTTCGCTGTCCCCAGTCTGACTCTAGTCACAGGCCCCAACACACCTGGCATTTCAAAGCCTGGGGGACATTTTCAAAGTAAACCCGAAAGGCTCGTTGTCATTCTTCCGAAAGATCTCTGCACGACAAGCAATAAAATAATTGAAGTCAGGTTGTTGTTTTTTTCTTTTTCTTCTTCCTTTTTTTTTTTATTTTTACAAGAGCCACTACAAAGGTGTGAAATATTAGACACTTACACATCTGTGAATAAGATTGGAGGCTAAAACGTGTGAGTTCCCGTCTCAGCTAATGAACCGGAATACGGTTTTAATTTTTGAACTGCAAAAATGTTCTGCCTTTTTTGATCGTCCCTGCAGAAGACTCGGTATTTTAATAATTCAGCGCAGCCTAATTACTTTAATTAATCACCTTCTTTTCAGAGATGTCAGTGGACTTCCTTATTTTCCTGTTACTGTAGGTACTGTTGGGAGTTTGAAGAAATTTAAAAAATCATATGTGGAAGAAGAACACAGGTTAACCCTTTCGTGAGGTCTGAGATGCGTGTCCTTTCCCCTCAGAGCGCCCTGTCGTTCTCAAACGGTGGGTGGGACTCTACCCCAAGCTCCTGTCCCTTTCGTCCCATTCCCGGCCTGTGATCGGTTAACCAAAGTTGTCTCTGGTCATTCTGTGCCTTAAAAACTGCTGTCTTGGAGACAAGAGTAAAATGCTATTTAGAGCAAGTCAATATTTTTGCATCTTTCTGAGTCATGATGAATATACCGGGAATATACAATAGCTTTTATTGTACAATCAATATAATTTGCTTCCCTTGCAGGAAAACATAATTAGTTATAGTTCACGCAGCGGCAATGAAAACGTGCTCATTTCTGAAGTTTGTTTGTGGGTGGAGAGAGTCCTTTCTGGGTCAGAGCGGGGGCTGTCCCATCCTGGCTCCTGACCCAGGCTGCCTGGGTGTCACTAAGCAGGTCACTCAACTTTGGGGGCCTTTGTTAGATCTTTGCACCAAGGAGTGACCATGCTTTTATACAGAGTTAATAATACATATGTTGCATATTTAGAGGTTTAAATTTAGAGCCTGGCCTTGAATACAATCCATATTGCTTCAATGACAGAACTCTAATATTGATTGTTCAACTGGACCCATCATCCCCCCTCTCTCTCTTTTTTCCCCATGAGAAGCACAGCTTATGATTTTTATCCATTTCCACAATAAATGTAAAAGGGCCCTTAATTGGTGCATAGATTAAGATAGAGGGAGGGAAGGCACCAGGTAGCCTCCCTTTGGCTTTCCTGGGAACAGTTTGTCCCCGTTGGTGGCTGCTCGGCCCCCCAGTCCCCAGTGTGGACTGGCTGCCTGCAACATCATTACCATGCGTTCTGTACTCCGTGGCACTAGTCTCCAGAGCCTCCGCTTAGTTCAGGCGGGGCAGCTTTGTTAGCAGTCTGAGGTTTTATGAGAACTCAGAACAAAGTGAGGTTTGAGTGGAGACCTTGTCTGAAGTACATCTCTCAGGATTCCTGGGAAAAGGCTGCAAGGAGGCCTCTTTTGGGGCTCAAGGTTGAACGCTTTTATTTTGAAATGCTGACTGTCTGAAATCAGATTTTACTCAACCCCGACTTTGGCTTTGAACTGAAGCATACACACACTACCTGTCACCTGAAGGGTGCAATTAGGGTCTGCACTTAGAGTTATGTTTTCTATCAGTGCTGAGGGGTGGACGTGAGCATGAGCCTGGCATTTGTTTGGCTGAAAGGAAAAGAAAAAGCGATTAAAAAAAAAAAAATCTCCCTTTTTATCTCCTCCCATTTTCTGTGCATGCCCCACCCTCCATCCCCCCAAATCTTCAACAACCTCAGAAGTCACAGAAATCTGTAAGAAAGAAATTGATAATCAGATCAATTCTTGCCATGGATCCAATAAAGGCTTGTGGTCGAAAACCCTGTTGGTCCTTCTGAGTCTCCTAAGATCTTCTACTGCAATCAGAGATGTTAATTGGTTGAAACTGCCTGTGGTCTTAAGAAGTGCTCCGATTACAAGGAGAAATCCTTTTATGTTGCTGGATTCCAGCCACAGAATCTCTGAAGCAGGAATCTGGCAGAGGTTGAGCCCCCTCCAGGGTGTAAATAAACTGGCCAGGTCTATAACCCAATAAGAAGTCAATTTATTGCATGTGTGTTTCAAGTCACCCAGCCCAAACCGTGCACATTTATTAAAGAAAAGGTGTGGGTTACAGCCGGAGCCCAGACAATGGAACATGGCAAGGGAGGTGGATGATTGTCAAGTCTACACAGTCAGTGGAGGGAAAGAGGGGGGCCCTGCAGGTATCAAAGCTTCTCTTCCAGCCTAAGTTTGCAAGGAACTTTCTAGAATCAAGCAGCTGAGCATGACTGGCACACAAAACTGCTTACTTTCCTAGCCTGGAGGCTGAGGCTCAAACGGCTTAAGTGGGTGAACGTTTTATAGCCCCGGTCTAGAAACCTGGGGGCGACATTCTTTGCCGCACTGCGCGCACGTGGTTGTTATCAGAACTGGAGGTTTTGCCGGGCCAGATCTTGCCGTGAGATGCCAGGGCAGCGTGTTGGGAGGCGGCTCTGAAGCCTTGGGCTGGGAACATGCTGAGCCCCTGGTTTACGCACACAGAGCCGTTTCACTTACATTGCGAAAGGTTGTTTGGGGTTCACCTAATTGTGATCGGGGGCTGGAGGAAGCATCAAAGCCTCCCCCCACCCCGCAGCTCGAGCATAATTATATTCCCGGAACGGTGTGTGGCAGCAGGGTGAGGGTGTGAAATGTGCCCAGCCTCGTTTGCATACTGCTCCAGACTGCTGGTGACAGTGAGCTATTAGCGAAACCCAGGACAGTGTGAACAAAGCTGCCTCTTAATTGCTCATTCTTCAGCATTAGTCCATCAGACAACACTATCCACCTACAACTTAAAAAAAAAAAAAAAAGACCCCCCAAAAAGCTCCCATAAATTTACAGTACCCCACTTTACTTTAACATAGCAAACACAATAATAGTCCAGCCAGTCTTTTTTTTTTTTTTGGGTGGCTTCCCCCCCTTCCATTCCCTTCATTCCCATTGGATTCTGTGAAGTCCCAGAGAACCAATGGGATTCCTCTTCTCCATTCATGTCCTAGCAACAAGCCCTGTTCCAATCTTTCTCCGCCAAACTAACACCTGAAAAATTACATCATGAATAATAGCAAAAGCAGTAAGGGCCGGAGAAGGACCTTTTTTTTTCTTTTTCTTTTCTTTCTTTTCTTTTTTTCTTTTTCTTTCTTTCTTTCTTTTCTTCTTCTTCTTTTTTCCATCTGTCTGCTACGGAGTTCATTTAAGGTGTTTTAGTCTAGTTTCTTAAAGTGACAATGTCCTAGATTTTTACCTATTTTTCCCCCCAGCACATAGGCTCACATGTGAAATATAAAATGAACAGTAATTAAATATAGTGAAAGGCCTTCAGGTGAAGTGAGGGGGAAACATTTCATTAGTTGTGTTCCCTGAACGTTCCTTGTAACAGTCCTCTTGCAGGGAAGCCCTGGGAGTGGAGGAATAGATTGTTCATATAGTATATTCTTTGGGAAATGACTAAAATATCCCAAACCGCAGAAGCTGCCCACCCACTCTCCCATACAAAAATATAGCCCTTCCTGGTGGCTTCTCTTGCCACAGTTAACTATACCCAAGGCTCTTTCTATTCCGACTTTGGAATAAAGGGCTCATTCTGTGAAGGGGGTCTTGGAGCCAGGGAAGGAACTGCCTTATGAATCTGCGAAAGGTGTGGGGTTGTCGCGGTAAGGGGCTCCGGGGTGGGAGGACCGGGAGCACGTGTGTGTCTGTGCACGTGCAGGGCTGCAAATGCAGACAGGCAGCTGGGAAAATGCAAGAACAACGAGATCCAGATGACCAGGGAGGAAGGAGGTTGGTAGAGAAATCAGGAGGGGGAGGTGAGGTGATAGGGCGTGGGGCGTGGCGGGGGGGGGGGCCTGGGCGGGGAAGGCCTCTGCTCATGCAGGCTTGTTCTCTCCAAATGTGCAAGGGCTTCTAATGAAAATGTCCACCCTCTTAGGCATTTTTCAAGACCCAGACGTTGATTTGCCGCTTCCGGCTGCCCCCACCCCACCCAGTCTGGCGCAGACAGCGAGCGGAGAGACGCAGACACAAAGAGAGGCAGGCTTGCGGGCGCCCGGAGAGGGAGAGGGAGAGGGCGGTGGTTAGCACCTGCTCGCGTCCACGTGCACCGTGCACAGCCAGCCGGGCTCTCCCCGCCCCACACCCCCCAGTCCTAGGCACTGAGGCCCGCGCAGTCTGGCGTCCTGGGCTCCTGGTACGCCTCTGTAGAGTGCCCGTGGCACGGGTGGGAAGGGACCCAGGGCTCTGGAGGCGGGCTCGGGTGCCCTGCTGGAGAAGCAGAAAATAGATCTATTTGGTGTCTGGCTCGGACGCGGAGTTTGCAGTTCGCCTCAGCCATCGCCTTGGAAGCGGAGTGGTTAGAGGTCCTGGCAGACAGTCTGCCTTGGTCGGTACTTGTGAAACCGCGTGACTATATAAGGCCCAGGAAGGAAAGAGCACGGTGCCAGCCTGAGGGATGGGCTGGCAAGGGAGTGGAGAGAATTGCAGGGGGCTGAGCTAGACACGCTCCCCTTATCCATCCCCCCACTGGTTGCGGGGATAATAACTCCTGCAGAAGTCCTGTGACCAACTGTGGAATCATCAAGAAATAATAAAGGGTGGGGGCGGGAGGGGCAGCTGCAGGAATAGATGCTCTTTCCCGGGAGGCTGGCTTAGCAGCCGCTTCCTCCTCTGACCGGAGTCAGCTGGCTTCAGGGTGGGCCAGGAAGGAGACCCACAAGTCCCAAGTCTGCAATGTGTTGGAGTATACCACATTCCACGGTGGAGAGAGTTTGGGTCCCCCAGCCCGACGGCCAGTTTTGGAGAAACAGATGGCCAGGCAGGCTAGGCCAGTAAAAAGGCAGTAGGGGGAAGGAGCACTGGAACGGGAGTCGGGTGTCTTGAGTTAGTTCTGGCTTTGGCAGGGCAATCTAGAGCAGAGCTTCCCCTCTCCTACCCATTGTTGCTGTCAGAGCAACGGCTCTCGGATCAGATGATTCATGGGTACAGTGCTTAGAACAGCCTCTAGAATGGACAGTAAGTACTCAATCATATTAGACATTATTATTGCCACCCTCCCACTGGCCTTAGGCTTGGGTCTGGAACCTTGAGTTAGAACGGATGCGGTCCCCACCTGCATCCTCCTTCAAGTGCTCTCTACCCCTCCTTGGCTTCCGAGGTATAACATTTTTCTGCTTTTCTTCCTACCTGTCAGGCCCTCCTTGTCATTGTCTTTGTGGCACCTGTGTCCTCTGGCTGGGCCTCGGTTGTTGGTTCTCCTCTGGGCTCTGTCCTGGGCCCCTACTCTTCTGTGCTCACACGTCCACTCGTGATCCTGTCCTCCCAAAGTTTTGGCTGATTTGTCCTTCCCTGATGGCTGCTATGCCACAGCTCCAGCCCAGATCTTCCAAATGTCAGGACTTTGCCGATTAGTGTCCTTCCGGTACTTGAGACTGGGTATGCCTCTCATCTCCTCCTCCCACCCCCAATTTGCTTCTTCACCTACGTATTGTTACCTCAGTGAAGAATGTTTCCACCCATAGAGGTATGCAAGGCAGAAGCCTGCTTGTCATCCTGGACCCCTCCTTCTCCCTCACCCCCCTCTCCAGTCCTTCAGCAAGAACTGTCAGTTTCCCACCTGTTACCACAACTCCGCCTCTCTACTGCCATCACCCAAGTATAAGCAGCCAATCCTGTTTCGTGGATTTCCTGCTACACCAATGCTGGCCCCTCATGGCGCAGGTCTGACCTCATCACTCCTGCCCAGGATCCCTTGCGTTGCTCCCAGGACATGGCTTTGACCTGGCTCCCTGCCTTTCATGCTTCACCTCATGCTTCCTTCTGTCCCTTGTTCTTGGGGCTTCTGCCACACTGACCTCCCCTTAGTTCCTTCAAAATGCTTTCCTCTCCCACCCTGGGACTTTGTAATGCAAAAGGCACCCCTCAACTAGATAAGTCCTACCCATGTGTCCTTAAGCTCTCAACTGGATGGGAGCCTCGAGGAGTCTGACCCTGCCCCCTTTAGACTAGGCCACCTTCCTTTTTCTGTGGTTTCACAGAGCTGTTGGCTTAAAATTGCACATTCCACTTACTTGATTAGTGCCTGCTTCACCCGAGGACTGTAATGCTGTAAGAATAGAGACTTGATTTTTTTCTTCACCATTATAGCCCTAACTCTCTAGCATATAGTGGGTGCTTAAAGAATATTTGTTGGGTGAATAAATAAAAGAAACTCTCCCAACTATGTGCCACTCGTAAACTTGATAAATATAATTTCTTGCTATAAAAGAATGTAGACTCCAGTGAGGTGGAGAACAAAGCCCTGTACTTTTAGTTCAATTTATGTAACCAATTTTGATGACTTAAGATCAACATTATTGAGGCATACAGGCATACCTTGTTTTATTTCGCTTTGCTTTATTTCACCTTAGAGATATTGCATTTTTTACAAATTGAAGGTTTGTAGCAACCCCGCATCAAACGAATCGATTGGCACCCTTTTTCCAACAGCATTTGCTCACTTCGTGTCTCTGGGTCACATTTTGGTAATTCTTGCAGTATTTCAAGCTTTTTCATTATTATTATATTTGTTATGGTTGACCTGTGATCCATGATGAGGTTTCGCTAAAAGCTCAGACGATAGTTCGTGTTTTTTAGCAATAAAATATTTTTAAATTAAGGTGTGTACATTGTTTTAGACATAATGTTATTGCACACTTCATAGACTACGGTATAGGGTAAACCTAACTTTTATATGCACTGGGAAACCAAAAGACTCATTTGACTCACTTTATTGCTATATCCACTTTATTGCAGTGGTCTGAAACCCAACGGCAGTATCTTTGAGGCATGCCTGTAATTTACATGTAAATTACATACATTAAAACGAACCCATTTTAAGTGTACACTTTGATGAGTTTTGACAAATGTATGTACCCATGTAAGTGCTACCACATCAATATGGAACATTTCTACCACTTATGATGCTTCTTTGCAGGCAATCTTCAACCCTCTTTGGACCCAGGCAACCATAAATCTGTTTTATGTCACTAATGATTAGTACAGTACTGCCTATTCTGGAATTTCATATAAAGAAATCATACAATGTATTATTTGTATCTGGCTGTGTTTCCTGAGTATATTTTTGAGATTCACTCATGGTAGCACATATTAGTTTGATCTTTTTATTGCTAAGGAGTATTCCATTGTAAGGAATTATCACAATTTCTTTACTCATTCATCTGTTGGTGGACATTTGGGTTATCTCCAGTTTGGGCTAATATGGTTAATCCAGTCTCAAACATTTCTCTACAAGTCTTTGTGTGGGCAAATCTTTCACTTCTCTTGGGTAAATGCCTAACAGTAGAATAAGCCATAAGGTAAATATATGCTTAACTTTATTAGAAACTGTCAATTTTCTAAAGAGTGGTCCCATTTTGTTCTCCCTCCAGCAATATATGAGGGTTTCGGTTGTTCTACATACTTGCTAAGCCCCCGTGACTGTGTGTAGTAGTATCTCATTGGGGAATTAATTCTAATTTCCATGATGACTAATGATGTTGAGCTTCTTTTCATGCTTGGCTATTCATATATCTTTGTTTGTGAAGGGGTTGTTCAAATCTTTTATGTTCATTTTTTTAAAGTTTATTTATTCAAGTAATCTCTACACCAAATGTGGGGCATGAACTCACCACCTCGAGATCAAGAGTTGCATGCTCTTCAAATGAACCAGCCAGAAGCTCCCTTTTGTGTCCATTGTTATTTATTTTTATTATTATTATTTTTTAATGATTAAATTGGTTACGTATTTATTTATTTATTTTTATTATTATGTTATGTTGATCACCATACATCACATCATTAGTTTTTGATGTAGTGCTCCATGATTCATTGTTTGTGCATAACACCCAGTGCTCCATGCAGAACGTGCCCTCCTCAATACCCATCACCAGGCTCCTGTATTGTATCTTTGGAAACACTTTCAGATGAAAGTTAGATGAGTCATAAGACTCATCTAGTTTGCATCTCTTTCTTCAGGGATCACACTCAAGCCTGTTTTCTAATGTTTAAAGATGATAGTTTAATTGCTCGTGCCTTGTTTTCTAGATATTTACCACAGGAAGGCAGGCCTGGTATCAGTTACTCTGTCATGGGCATTGATATATTTTTGACTAGCTTACCTAACAGAATTCTCATTTTGCCTATATTTCTCCTAAAGAAATCACCAAAGAGAGTATAAAACATTACAAAAAATGAAGATATACTACCTCTGTGTAATCACATTAATTCACCTAACAATCCTTTCCAAACAGGAAATGAAACTAGTGGATTTTACTTAGTCATCTGAACCTATGCTAACCTAAAGATATCCCCTTTCTCTTCGTAAGTCATCTGTTCAATAATATTTTCTAGGATTCTGCCAGAGTAGATTATGTTCACTATTAAGCTGTTTCCAGAATTTAAGTATGAAAGCATGTTTCTATTTCTGGTCTTTTGACACAATAATGTTTATAAATAATATCTATTTACTTACAGAGTGCTTACTCCATGCCTGGCAGCATGTTAAGTATTTTATATACATCATTTTTTTGAGTCATCATAATACTTTCTGTTAGTTTCTTCTATCATCTTCACTTAGTAGATAAAGAAACTGAGAATAAGGGATATAAAATAACATGCCCAAGGGCACCCAACTAGAAAGAGGTGGAGCCGAAATCTGAATCAAGGTGGTTTCCTTAGAAAATGCCAGTTTATCTACTGGATGATCTTTACTATCACCTTTTTCTTCATGATTTTTCAGGATTTTTATTATTATAAGACTCCTTAATTCTTCTTTGTTTCTTAATATCATTTGCGAGAGCCAAGGAATGGCAAGTATGAGCAATAAAATGGGGACCTTTAGTGTGTATCGAATAGCTTCATTGATTAATTCCCTTAATCTCTTTCTACTCTTAGGGCATTGCGGGCAAATGGAACAATATGTAGAACAACAGCAGCATGAAACTGCAGAACTCATTAATTCAGATGCAATATGGGGATGCTCCATAGCAACTTCACATGGATGTCGTGAGGGTAAAAAAGGAGGAAACACATTTTAGATACATAAGGTACTAATAATGAGAATATGCATTTGAAGTTCATGGATCTATTTGCCACAACAAGAACTATAATACCTGCATAGATTTAATTAGTGCTTTTCCTGTGAAGAATGTAAAGTACTTCAATATATCATAAAATATTATTGTCCGTGGTTTTAGGAGGGGAAATCAGTCACCAAACAAAACAGACAGGAAAAACATGAGAGCCTGACAAGTGAAATGTATTGGAGGTAGAGGATATCCAAAGGAGGGCGAGATCAGCCTCACTTGTCTTTTTAAAGAAGGGTGAGAATTTGCCCAGCAGATGGGAATCGTAACAGCTGGAGGAAAGAGGGCATTCCAGGCAAATGGGACAATATGTATAACAATACAGAGGCATGAAACAGGCCACGTTCTCTTTGATCAATAATTATACATATACCTATAAATTTGCAGAGACCATTCAAATAAGTTTGAGATCTTGGTTTTCTCTCTCAAAGAGTTTATAACATAACTGAATAGGTCAGATGCAAGTATGGAAAGAAAATATTGATAATATATGATGGAAGCCTGATGAGATAAATATTTGTTGAATGAATGAAAGATGTATATCAGGATGTGCTAAATGCCAATGACTGATGTCAACTATGAGACTTTCAAGGGGACAGGGCAGAGGATGTACGTTTTTGAGTGAGTGCTATGATCTGACTTATTTTACGGCTGTTATTCTGCTGCTGGGTGGAAAATGAAATACACAAGAGAGGCAGGGATCTGGTTGGGAGTTGTAACACTGATGTGCAGAGAGGATAGTGGTTTGGATTAGGATGATAATGGCAAAAGTGGTGAAAAACACATTCTGTATATTTTTTGATGGTAGAACCGATGACCTGGTTTTGAAGTATGAGAGATGGAAAGGGTGTCAAGGTTCTTTCTATAATTTCTAGCCTGAGAAACCAGAAGAATAAGTTAATAAGTTGTCATTTACCAAGATGGAGCCATGTCAGGGGAAAGCGGGGTGTGTGTGTGTGTGTGTGTGTGTTGGGGGTTGGGTCTAAAATGGACAGATTACATTTGAGACTTTCAAGAAGAAAAATCAAGTAGACAGCTGCATACATGACTCTGAAGTTTAGAGAAGCACTCTGGCCTGGAGATATAACTTTTGGAGTTGTCAGTGTATAGATATTCTTTAAATCCATGAGACTGGATGAGACCACCATGGGAGTGAAAAGAGACAAAGCAAGAGGAATAGATGTTCCAAGACTTGGAGGTTGGGAAGCTGGTAAAGAACTGGCAGAAGAGATTGAATACGAATAAACAGTGAGCTAGGAAGAGATCCAAGGGAGAGTGACATTGTGGAGGCAGGGTGAAAAAAAGTGTTTCAAGAGAGTCGTTAGCTTTGTCAAATGCTGATCATCAGTTGAGTCATATGATGACTGGAAGTAGCTATTGGATTTGTCAACACAGTGGTCTTTGGTGACAAGGACAACGGGATGATAAGAGCTCGGATGGCAGTGACCAGAGAGCCTAACAAAAGTTGGTTCTGGAGAAAATAGAAGAGTAGAGACACCAAGTATCAGTACTTATTTTGAGGACTCCTGTTGTAAAAGGAAGCAGAGGAAAGGGATGATGTGGGCTCAAGAGAGTTTTTTTAATGGGGGGGATGTTACAGTTTGTTTTTAAGTTTGTAGGTTGGTGGGAAAATGGCCCACTGAGAAGGGACTTTTAAGGAGAGAAAGGGAGGGTTGGTTGAAGATGAGAAGGGAAGGGGTCAGCCTTGGGGGCAGGAGCAGGGACAGCTCATTCTGGGGATAGGAATAGAGACGTGATGTGATTACTGACACAGCAAGGTTAGTAGGTTTGGTGGGGGGCCTTGTAGAAGCTCTTTTGATTGCTGCCACCACAGTGAAGTCAGTGAGGTCACCGGTGGCCAGAGGAGGGAGCAGGGGGTGGTAGGGATTTTGGAAGGGGTAGGGTCATTTGGGTTTGCTCATGTTGAACTGAATGAGCTGATTGATCTTCCAAGTGCAAATATCTAGCACGCAGTCAGAGCAATGTGGCTACAACTTAGGTGAGAGGGGGGTCCCTGTCGAGAGAAAGCTGGGTGCCATGTGCTAAGAATGGGGAACCTGTAGGCCGATTGTGGCTGAATTCTCCAGTAGACAAATGCGAAGTGGTGAGCCTCTCATCTGTCTGTAGTTGGGGGTAGGATAGGAACTGAGACTTCAGGAAAGGAGGTCAGGGACATCCGTGGGAAGCTCAGGCCCCTCTCCTTTTGCTGTTCTCCTCCCTCTCTCTCCGCAAGTGGGAAGAAGGTTCAGAATCACCGCAGGCCTACCCCATGCCCGCTACTGGGCCACATGGCCCTTCGTTAATTCTCACAAGAGGCCCGTTACTGTCATTTCTGTCTACAAATGAGAAACTGAGGCAACAGACACAGATGAAAGGGGTGAAGCACATCTGTCATCTCCTTTCCATTACCTCAGAGAGGGAGAGAAAGTTCCATGAAGAGAGAAAATACTTCCTTAGCTCCTGAACTGCAGCATCCTGAAAGAGTCACTTCTGACCAAGTGTGCTATGCATTATCTCTCACAACGAGTCTTCGCAACAAGAACAAGACTCCCCGTGTGGATGGCCTTGCAGGCGCTGGCTTAGTGGGCAGATAGCATCTCTGAGTGGTTTCAGGAATGGTGACCCTTTTTTCTGCCTGACCCTGCCCTGAACAGTAGGTGGCCTGGGGATAAGGGTCCAAACTACGTTTTAGCCCCACCTTACCTCCTCGGCCCTAGGAGTCCACTCTGACCATTATCATCATCCTCGTTTTAAAAATGGGGCAACAATGCTCAGAAAGGTTATGCAGCTTGCCCCAGGTCACACATGTCTTTTGTGCAAGGGGTTCTCAAGAGGGTGCCATGAGAGGCCAAGAGCTGAGCAAGCAATTTTGAACTTCCAGGTAGAGTCAGGAAGATGGTGCCCATCTGAGTGGGTCTGGGATAAGTAGGCAATTTATGCAGAGAAGACACACGTTTTCCCAGTGGCTTCCTGCTGTCTGGAGGTACTTGCTTTAACAGCCTGTTGGAGCCAAGCAGCCGGCTCCAAAATGCCTGCTGGAGTGTGGAAAGGGGATGAGCATGCAGCTGGATCAGCACCCACACATGCAAGCATCCAGAAAGCCTCTGTTGGAGGTACAGAGGCTGTAACAATATTCTTGCATATTGGGCGCCTGGGTGGCTCAGATGGTTAAGCGTCTGCCTTCGGCTCAGGTCATGATCCCAGGGTCCTGGGATCGAGTCCCACATCGGGCTCCCGGCTCAGCGGGGAGCCTGCTTCTCCCTCTGACCCTCTCCCCTCTCATGCTGTTTCTCTCTCGCTCGCTCTCTAAAAAATAAATAAAATCTTTAAAAAAAAAAAAAAGCTAATTAAAACAAAACAAAACAATATTCTTGCATACCAAGGGCTGATGTATTGCTGTGTTTGTGCATCCATAGGAAACATCCTAGAAATCCATCTGGACTCCTTTTCCTTTGAGCAATTTTGCTGCATGCAGAGGCCTCTGGATTTGCAAGTGAGAAGTGATGGGCACAAGTGTGTGTTTGAGGCAGCCTCCGGCCAAGGAAGGATGGGCAACTGAACCTGAAAAAGTGACTGAAGCCTTCTCTGCTCCTCACTACCAATGGGATTAGCTAGCCTTGTTGTCCTGCTCTGTAAAATGGGGTAATTATCCCCATTCTATCTCACTATAGAGACATAGGGGCTTACTTATTATGGGTGAAAATGTGTTGCAAAGTGTAAAGTAGAAATAACACCATTATGGATGATCCTAAACAACAGCCAAATAACATAATTTGGAATGTTTTAATTTTTAGTTTAAAGAAATATTAGCTCAGGCTAACAAAAAAAAGAGAAAAAGAAAGAAAGAAAGAAAGAAAGAAAGAAAGAAAAGAAAGAAAGAAGAAAGGAGAAAGAAAGAAAGAAAAAGTCTGTGGGGCGCCGGGGTGGCTCAGTCAGTTAAGGGTCCGACTCTTGGTTTCGGCTCAGGTCATGATCTCAGGGTCCTGGGATCGTGTGGAGTTCCATGCTCAGTGGGGAGTTTGCTTGAGGATTCACTCCCTCTGCCCCTCCCCCCACTCTCTCTCACTCTCTCAGATAAATAAATAAATCTTTAATAAAAAAAAGTCTTGTGGCATATATTTTACTGATGCCCAGAGTTCTAAACTGTGTATCTGCACTGTCCACTGAAATACAATGAGAACCACGTTTGTAATTTAAATTTTTCTAGTAGCCACATTAAAAATGTAAAAAGAAATAGCTGAAAAATTTTATTGCTATACCTTATTTTACCCGAATGTATCTAACATATTATCATTTTAACATTTAATCAATACTAAAATTATTAATGAATTATTTTACACTCCTTTTTCACACTAAGGGTTTGAAATTCGGTGTGTATTTTGTACTTATAACACATCTCAATTTGGGAGCTAAATTTTCGGTGGTTAAAGTAAAATGTAGTCCTACCAAGCAGTAAGGTTGTGTTTTGTTTTGTTTTTTAATATTTATTTATTTATTTATTTGACAGAGAGATAGAGAGAGAGCACAAGTAGGCAGAGAGGCAGGCAGAGGGAGAGGGAGAAGCAGACTCTCCACCGAGCAGGGAGCCCGATCATGACCTGAGCCGAAGGCAGCCGCTTAACCGACTGAGCCACCCAGGCGCCCCAGTAAGGTTGTGTTTAACAGAGAAATATTTCACTCTGTTTCAGTTCCTTAGTCACATGGGATGTGTCTCAGATAGTCAGTAGGCATATTGGCTTGTGGCTACCATATTGAACAGCACAGCTTTCTATCTGCTGATCCCTCTTTACTCTAATTTATGTTTCATCATGTCATCAGGCACACCTGCCTCCTATAATAAGCAGGTTCCTGCATTATCCTATGAACATAGCACAGTAACTGGGGCTCAGTTTCCTCATCTGTCCAATGGGGATACTAAGAATGGCTGCCTCACATCGTGGTTGTAAGGCATCAACAAGATTACTTAAGTGGCGTACCTACAGCAGGCCTGTTGAATAGTAGGTGCCAGCCAGTAGGAGTTCCTGGTCTTGTTTTTCTAAGATCACCATGAATTTCTTCAGGGCAAGACCAGAGCCCTCCAGATCACCCAAGCATTTCCCACCATGCTGAACTCACAGTTCAAAATATACATGTACGGGGCACCTGGGTGGCTCAGTCGGTTGAGCGTCAGACTCTTGATTTTGGCTCAGGTCATGATATTGGGGTTGTGGGATTGAGTCCCGCCTCAGGCTCTGTGCTCATTGAGGAGGCTGCCTGAGAGTCTCTCTCCCTCTGCCCTGCTCCGGGTTCCTGTGCTCTCTCTCAAATAAATAAATAAATCTTCAAAATAAACACATATATTTACATTTTTTGATTGACTAATTGATTGAGGTTGTCTCAGAGGTTGTTCATAGTGACCAGGGGGGTTCCACTTGGATTTAAAAAATTGAGTATAGACAAAACACTCTGTGAATTCAGTGGCACATGGATAATTAAGAACTGACTGTGATTTGCCTTCATATGGAGTTCATCAATTTCAAGTTACTTTACATTAATTTTTACAATAAGTTAAATTTCCTTTCTTTAAGTAACACAATCAAATTTCAAAATTGTCAGAAAAGGAAGAAAAAAAATCATCTATAATCCTATCACAGTCCTTCTTACCAGTTTGGTGTTTTTACTCCCAATTGGAGTTGTTCCAATATTCTTGATTCTAGGTAGAAAATAAGCTGCTTTCTCCATTTTACGGGTAGCGATACCGAGGCTTGGAGATTCAAGAAAACTGCTCAGTTTTACATCAGAAATCAGGGTGAAGACACAAGACAAAGGTTAGGTGTGTTGAGCGCCTCTCCCAGCGTGGTTCCAGCAGGTCATGGTAGAGCAGCTCCCCCTCAGGAACCACTGCTTTGAGTTTCCATGACATACATGAATTCAAGCGCAAGGCATTACTAAGAAATTGCATTGCCTTGATTTTCATTGTATGTTTACTTGCCTTCTAGGATTATGTCAAGGTTTCTTAACATCAGTAGAAAGGAGGGAATTTTCAAAAAGCAAATGACTACGGCGTTCAGTTGCATCTTTGCAAGGAACCTGGATTCAGTTAGATCATTGAGGCTTTGTTTGACCTTAAACAGCTTCGACAGTTTAAATTTGAGATTTTAGCCCCTCCATAAGGCTGTTAAACCAGCCAGAAAATGTGGAGCATTTGAGAAATTCCGCAGATCGAGGGGACTCCAAGGACTGCAAGGAGCCCAAATGCTGGTGCTCGGGTCACAGGTGCCCGTGGAAGCGGGAGGAGTCGTGCCTGGGGTGGCAAGTCTCTGGAGCTCCCTAAATGACCAGGCTCCTTGGTCTTCAGCCCTGTCCTTCCTCAACATGCACCTGCCACCCTGCACTTCCCATGGAACGCATCTCTAGTACCTTGTTGTTTTGAACAAGAGTCAAGGAGAGGGGCGCGTGGGTGGCTCAGTCAGTTAAGCGTCTGCCTTCGGCTCAGATATGGAGTCCCAGGATCGAGTCCTGCATCTGGCTCCCTGCTCAGCGGAGAGCCAGCTTCTCCCTCTGACCCTCCTCCCTCTCGGGCTCTCTCTCTCACTCTCTTTCTCTCTCTCTAATAAATAAAATCTTAAAAAAAAAAAAAAAAGGAGTCAAGGAGAAAATCGTAACAGAACCACCTCACCTTCCTGCATAGAATGCACTGACTAGTCCGCTTAGCGTGTAAGAGCCTATGGGGCCTGCAGAACGTGCAGAGGCTTTGGAAGTGGATTCAGACGACATCACGGGTAGAACACACCTTGACTTGTTTCGTGGATAGGTAACGGGGGTCAGAGAGGTGCTGTGACTGCTCCTGACTAACCGGTCTAGTGCGTTCTGAATAATCCCACGTGCCCTATTTCAACAGACTGATGTGACACCACCTTTGTCTGAGTTTAGTTCGCTGATTATAACTGTCAAGTAGGGGGGCACCTGGGTGGCTCAGTCGGAGGAGCTCCAGACTCTTGATTTCGGCTCAGGCCATGACCTTGGGGTCATGGGATTGTGTCAGGCTTCGTGCTCATCGGGGAGACTGCTTGGGATTCTCCCTCTCCCTCTGCCCTCCCTCCACCTCTGCTCTCTCTCTCTCTCAAACAAAGGAGTAAAACAAAGATTGTCAAGTAGGAGCACAGACTTCCTGTCTATAAAGGGGATAGAGAAATGGAGTAGACCCCAAACCCAAAGGCTGTTTCTTACTCACTGGGGCTGGTAGCTCCCAGAGCTATTTTCACACAAGATCCCTTCCTTGGGCTTCGGACTTTCATGTTCCAACTATTGTTCCCCTGTGGCTTCTTCTGTGTCCCTCTGGCATCCTTGCCACCACCCAAGGTCCCAAGGATCCCAGTGTGACCGCCACAGGCCACCTTATCCAAATGTAGCTTAAGTATTATGGTCTTTCACTACCCGAAGAACTCCGCACCTGAACGGATGTGGTCCCAGGTGGGCAGGCATTAATATGGCCACTTTCTGATAGAGCAGCTGAGAGGCGACAGAGGGGAACCAACCAGCTCACAGACACCCCGCATGCACGGCAGGACTGACCCCAACCCCTAGTGCACTCCCCTGTACGTGCTCTCGCCCGGATGTGAGGATGTGATGGTGACCTAGAACTCCAGGGCTTGTGGCTAGGGCTGTCGGAACGCTGGCTGCCTCTCTGGGGCCTTCCCTCTCTTCCCCTCCAGAAAGCAGAGCTGAAGCTTGCAAAGAGCTCGAGTTTCACTGGGGGATGGAGTGGGAGGCAGGCAGGCCTGGCTGCAGCGGTAATTTGTCTGGTTTACTAGGTCAGTTTCCTGTTAGGGCTCATTGTGGTTTAAAATTATTGTGGAGCCGGTTTCTTATTGACAGAGGCCGTCTAAGCCCCCGGTACGTCTGCTCTGGCTTCCATCCTGCAGGGAGCTGCGTCTCCACCACCTTTGCAGGCCCTGCTCCTGTCATCGAGGGCTCACCAGTGCGGCATCAGGGCCCCAAGTTCCACATTTGGGGGCCGATGCTGGCCGAACTCGGCTCCTTTTCTGGTGAAACACTCGGACGCAACTGTCTTTGGGAAGAGATTTTTCACTGGAGTTGTAAATGCAATCTATTGACTCGCGTTCCCCCTTTTCCTCTGTGTGTGAGCCCTCCTGGGCAGTCGTCCTCAGCCCCATGTGGTTATTGCTTCCTTGCGATGGGTGGGACTGATCCGAATTCGGATGTCTTCCTTGTGTAAAATGCACACCAGATTGCCAAGACTCAGGGCAAAAAAAGAAGGTAAACTAGCTCATTACATTTTTAAAATATTAATTGTGATGAAATAATAACATTTTAACTATATTGGGCTCCATAAAAAATTACCATCCATTTCAGCTGTTTCTTTTTGTGAATGTGGCTACTGGGAAAAGGTTAACTTTCATGTGTGGCTTGCATTCTACCTGCTGGGCAGTGCTGACCTGCGCCAATTTATTTTCTCCGAAATGCGGATGGCTCGGAGTTCCCGCCTGACTAGTTTCTCATCTCCAGCAAGTTGCGTGCCTACACCTAGCTTCAGCTTCTTGGCTTCATGCTAAAAATACTCCGTGCGTTTCCTGGACCCCATGAAATTTTATACGGGGTAGGGAACGCTTTGAAATGTGTGGCGCTGGGTGTAAGGAGTTATAATTTTTATCAGGTGGTAGTTGTTGCCATCTATAATAGAGAAGCCGGTGTGTCTAGGATTATTTCTCATCCTCCGCTCTGCGCAGGGAGAACACTGAGAGCCTTTCCCCCTCCTAAGAGTTAAGCACAGCAGTGGGAGAGAATCAGACTATCTTTGGGTTAACAGTTCCCAGAATAGAACTGGGGAAGTAAAAACAAAAAGGTCATCGAACCGGGTAAGGAGACTGAGGGTTGCTGGCATTCACTTCTTTTGTTCTCGTTCTTGGCCGTAGGAACAGAAACTGATGGGCCGTTGGTGGAGGGTGGCCCTCTGCAAAGTGGCCTGATCGGATTCCTGAGCTTCTAGGTCATTGAGCAGGATCGCGACTGGCCGGAGCCACGCTACTCCCTCCTGACCTTGAAAGGTGTGACAAGTGGACTTGCGTGCATTGCTCAGCCAGCCTCTATTGACTCTCTGTGATGTACTGGGCATCGATCTTATCTTTGTGAGAATTTGGTGAGCCAGCAAAAGAGTAAGTAGAGGAAATGAGAAAAAAAATCCATGTTTGATATTAATTAACGACGATAAAGAAACAAGTCAGAAACAGAGAAGAATATAAAATACTCCTTCCTTCCTGTCCTTTGGCTCCTTTTTATCCTCAGAGCTCAGCGTAGCCCCTGGTACTCCTGGTTCTCTGCAAATAAATGAATGAATGAGTTGTTTGTGTCAAAATAGCTATATTCATGGGTAAAATAAAACCATTTTGGGTGTTGGGATTTATCTTCACAATTCCCAAGAAAGCTGCCAGACGATGCCAGGCATCCGTTCGGAGCAAAGCGGGATTCAAAAGATCCTTGATGTATTGACAGTAAACTAGAGAAGGTGAACTCAGCCTACATTTACCCGATATCATAGATTTTTTTTTCTGAGGGGCTGGAGAGAATTACTTCTCTTTTAACCATGCAAACATAATTTTATATACACACAAAAATGCAATCATATTATATATACTCTCTGTTTTCATCGTTAGTGTGATCTTTCTTTTCTGTTTTTTGCTTGGCTCCTTCCTTCTCCGGCCACTCTCGCCATTAGCATCACCTTTTCCCACGTAACACATACTAATGCTCAAATATATCTTTCCTCACTTCTCTCCATGCTCCTGTAATCACAGACACACATCATATACATACAGCATTCCTTTTGTCAAGGTGTATTTAGTTAAACGGAATAAAATCGTACTCTTTTCCTTATTCAATGATACTGCGTGGAAATTGCACCAGGGCATAGAGCTCTAAGTCATTCTTTTTAATGACTATATAATACTCCATCCTGTGGCTCTAGCATCAGTTCCCAACCTTTTCCTTAACAATGGGCACTCACTTTGCTTCCAAGCTTGTTTGTTTGTTATTGATCTTTTTGAACAATGCTTGTGCATATGCCTTCTTTCTTTTGTGGGGGTGTTTTTATTTATATTAGCTAAGTTCCCAGGAGTGAGATTAGAGAGTATATATGCATTTTTAAATTTTAATAAACATTGTCACATTACTTTCTAAAAAGACTGTAGCAATTCGTATTTTCATCAGCTATGTAAGGAAGTATTATTTTGCCACATCTTCCCCCCAGAAGGGTTTTTTTTTTTTTTAAAGAAATACTTTGCCAGTATGATAGATATAAATGAATAACTTATTGCTCTAGACCAGGAGTTGTAATCATTTTGGGAGAGGGGATGGACTCCTTCTCAGAATACTGTTTTTTAACAGGCAAAATAAATTACATAGGATTACAAAGAAATCTAATTATATTGAAATATAGTTATCAAATATCCCCAAACCCCCAATTTATGACATAGATATATATGTGTCTCTATTAACATATTAAATAACAAAGTCTAGTTGCAGAGCTAATAGCTACCATAAATTCAAAGAAGTGATGAATATAGATGATATTTCAACATATATGCTCCAACTGTAACATGCTATGAAAATATCTGTGATTTATAATGGAGACAAAGTCATAGGTACTATTGATATGATTGTGGTTTGTTGCCGGCGCTTGTGATTGAAATAAACACCACATTTCAGTTGGAAATTAATGAAACTAGAAATGTAGTGTTTTCCCATCCAAGTTCACAGATTGCTCAATATTATCCTTAGACTCCTGGGGGCATCTCTGTACCCCAAATTAGGTACGTACCTCTGCTCTAGAGTCTCAGAAAAGAGGCTCTAGAAACTGATTCTACTCCTTCATTTTATAGAAGAGCAAGACTGTGCCCTAGAGTTTGGACCCTGACCAAGACCTGAGTTCAAATCTCCTGGCCCCCTACCTTGTATTTTTTCACCATAAATTTTACCTCTCTCTAGGGAGGCCCACCCCAGCAGATGAAGTTGCCTTAGTCTCCTCTGCTTGGCTCCAAGTCCCGGTTAGACCAGTGGTTGAAAAACAATGGCTCATGGGCCAAATCCAGCCTACTGCTGTTTTTTGTAAATAAAGTATTATCAAAACGCAGCTGTGTCCATCTGTTTACATATTGTCATGGCTAGTTCTTGTTACAGTGGCAGGGCCGAGGGGTTGCAACAGACCACAGGGGACACGGAACCTACAATATTTACTCTCTGACCCTTTGCAGGAAAAGTTAGCCAGCCCCCAGCTTAGACTCACCCAGGATGTGTATTCTCACTGCCACTGTACCTTGATGCTACCCCTCACAACTGTGGAGCTGGGGGGCACAACGGTACTCTTGTCTTAAAGACTTTGCATATACTGTTCCCTCTCTCAAGAATACTGAACCCCCAGCCCCAACTCCTGTGATGTCACTCCTTCCAAGAAGCTTTCCCTGATCATCCCCTTCCTATAGCCTGCTTTATGTGCCCCTAATGTGTGTCCCTCCAGTGCTCTGTGCCCCCCTTGACTAGCACTGGCCATGTTTAACTCTAGTTGTCTAGGGGCCTATGTGTCTCTTACACTAAAGAGAAGCTCCCTGAGGACAGGGCTTGTGTCTGCCTTGTTCACTGATACATCCCCAGTGTCTGGCTCGATGCTTGAAACATATTTGTGCAATGAATGAATGAATGAAGTGAAGTTTATCTTCAATGCCCCTTACTTTACCCCTTTTTCATCCTTTTGTCTTTCCATTCAGGGACAACCTGTCACCACCCTGCTCTCCTTTAGATGGGCTCCCTATCGTCCCCTTCTACTATTGAAATATGCTTTCAGGAAATAATCTGATAAACTCGTTCTCAAATGCCTGATACAGATTAATTAAAGTGCCATGAGAGCTAAAATCTTGTCTAGGTTATTTGCCCCATTTATCAAATGCCCAGCATAGTACACGGCACGAAGAATGTGTTTAAGAGACATTTTCCGAATAAATTAATGTTAGTGGTAGCTCAGATTTGGTTTAAACCAAAGGAATACATCTCTAGTTGTGGAATTTATGGTGTGAGAGCCAAGTTGGGAAATATTTTTGGACATAGAATGTCTTCTTTTGTGTTTCTGAACAATCACTAATTCAAAGACCTCCCCTTCTACTTAATTCTAAGTGGTAGGCTGGCATCTCAGGTGAAGGATGGAAGCAGGTGGAAGGAAATGCCCGAGGAACATGAATTAGAGCTATGAAAACCCAGGGAAGGTGGGTTTTTGTGGGAAATTCCACTCTCTTTGTAGCTCCCCTATCTCAAAATTCTTTCAACCCCTAATGTACCAGAGTTAACCTTTCTCTTTTCTTTTTTTTTTTTTAAGATTTTATTTATTTTTTGACAGAGAGAGAGACAGC